GCAGAAATCGCAAAAATGCCTGAAAATTGCAGAAATAGCAAAAATTGCAAAAATTCCTGAAAATTGCAAAAATCGCAAAAATTCTTGAAAATTGCAAAAATCGCAGAAATTCCTGAAAATTGCAAAAATCGCAAAAATTCCTGAAAATTGCAAAAATCACAAAAATTCCTGAAAATTGCAAAAATCGCAAAAATTCCTGAAAATTGCAAAAAATCACAAAAATTCCTGAAAATTGCAAAAATCACAAAAATTCCTGAAATTTGCAAAAATCGCAAAAATTCCTGAAAATTGCAAAAATTGCAAAAATTCTTGAAAATTGCAAAAATCACAAAAATTCCTGAAAATTGCAAAAAATCACAAAAATTCCTGAAAATTGCAAAAATCACAAAATTCCTGAAAATTGCAAAAATCGCAAAAATTCCTGAAAATTGCAAAAATCGCAAAAATTCTTGAAAATTGCAAAAATCGCAGAAATTCCTGAAAATTGCAAAAATCGCAAAAATGCCTGAAAATTGCAAAAATCGCAAAAATTCCTGAAAATTGCAAAAATTGCAAAAATTCCTGAAAATTGCAAAAATCACAAAAATTCCTGAAAATTGCAAAAAATCACAAAAATTCCTGAAAATTGCAAAAATTCCTGAAAATTGCAAAAATCGCAAAAATTCCTGAAAATTGCAGAAATAGCAAAAATTGCAAAAATTCCTGAAAATTGCAAAAATCGCAAAAATTCCTGAAAATTGCAAAAATCGCAGAAATTCCTGAAAATTGCAAAAATCGCAAAAATGCCTGAAAATTGCAAAAATCGCAAAAATTCCTGAAAATTGCAAAAATCGCAAAAATTCCTGAAAATTGCAAAAATTGCAAAAATTCCTGAAAAATTGCAAAAATCACAAAAATTCCTGAAAATTGCAAAAAATCATAAAAATTCCTGAAAATTGCAAAAATCACTAAAATTCTTGAGAATTGCAAAAATCGCAAAAATTCCTGAAAATTGCAAAAATCGCAAAAATTCCTGAAAATTGCAAAAATCGCAAAAATTCCTGAAAATTGCAAAAATCACAAAAGTTCCTGAAAATTGCAAAAAATCACAAAAATTCCTGAAATTTGCAAAAATCATTAAAATTCCTGAAAATTGCAAAAATCGCAAAATTCCTGAAAATTGCAAAAATCGCAAAAATTCCTGAAAATTGCAAAAATTGCAAAAATTCCTGAAAATTGCAAAAATCACAAAAATTCCTGAAAATTGCAAAAAATCACAAAAATTCCTGAAAATTGCAAAAATCGCAAAAATTCCTGAAAATTGCAAAAATCGCAAAAATTCCTGAAAATTGCAAAAATCGCAAAAATTCCTGAAAATTGCAAAAATTGCAAAAATTCCTGAAAATTGCAAAAATCACAAAAATTCCTGAAAATTGCAAAAAATCACAAAAATTCCTGAAAATTGCAAAAATCGCAAAATTTCCTGAAAATTGCAGAAATCGCAAAAATGCCTGAAAATTGCAGAAATAGCAAAAATTGCAAAATTTCCTGAAAATTGCAAAAATCGCTTTACTGTTAAAGTATTCATTTATATTTTTTGTTCGGGATTCCTTTTGGTTGTAGACATGAGTGTTTTTATTTCTCATCGTATCAATCTCCATGTCTGTATCGTTTTTTATATCCAGCTCTTTTTTAAGCTGTTCAACTTTTTCTTCAACGAGTAATTTATTCTCTTGTAGCAATTTGATATTGTCTTCTAATAATTTATATCTAATATCTGTACCTTCTAGGAGCCTTTTGAGGTATTCATTTTCCATTTTCAATGTTTCCATCTTTATTTCTATACTGGCATCGATGGTCGTGGTGTTCTTATCACAAGAGACCTTCAGATTTCCATATACGAGAGTATTTGTTATGGTTTCTTCTTCACCTAATGCTTTTTCACAGCAAACTACACGTGCAGCACAACTTTTGTGGTAGACTTTATCACATTCTGTACATTTTAAAATTTTTTTGGATGCAGTTTTCTTACAGTAGCTGCAGAGATCTGTACACGCGTCCGCACTCTCCGCCATCATCATCAGCATTGCGATTTTTGCAATTTTCCGGCATTTTTGCGATTTTTGCAATCTTCAGGTTTCTTTAAAATGCCTGAAAATTGCAGAAATAGCAAAAATTGCGGAAATTCCTGAAAGATAGAAAAATTTCAGGAAATTGCAAAAATTAATGAAAATTGCAAAAATCGCAAAAATTCCTGAAAATTGTAAAAATTGCAAAAATTCCTGAAAATTGCAGAAATTGCAAAAATTGAAAAAATTACGGAAAATTGTGAGAATTCCTAAATTCCTGAAAATTGCAAAAATCGCAAAAATGCCTGAAAATTGCAAAAATTCCTGAAAATTGCAAAAATCGCAAATTGCCTGAAAATTGCAGAAATAGCAAAAATTGCGAAAATTCCTGAAAATCGCAAAAATCGCAAAATGCCTGAAAATTGCAGAAATAGCAAAAATTGCAAAAATTCCTGAAAATTGCAAATATTGCAAAAACTGCAAAAATTTTTGCAATTTGCAATTTTGCAGAATACCAATAAAATATATTTCATATAATACACAGTTTTTGTTATATTCAAATATTTCTAGAGAATCTTCATGCAGCATTCCAAGTAGGTACTCATGAAGAACAAATTTTTGTTTTCGACACGAACACCCAATGCTCTGCATTGTGCAATGATTGTTAAACAGGAAATATTCATTCCATTTCGTGTAGGTATCATACCTCAAATGTCTGATGTGATGTCGGAACATGTACGAGATTAAATTCGAGCTGAATCCTGATGGCACCTGTTATAATTCAAACCTTCTTAGTGAAGATTCTCACGAGTATTCCGATTTCAATTAAAGCTGCCTCTGAATGGAACTCGAACTTATTGTTTCGGAGTGGAATCATGTATTGACATTGTTTCAATACGAATGAGAATGACGAATTTTATCAGAGATACAGTACCAGAGTTCAAACTTCAAATACATGAGGGAGTCTATATAATCTAGGATGAGGGGGAATAATATAGGTACAAGTTGTGTGAAGATTGAAATGTATAGGCTGTCCCATTTTAGATGTCCTCACGGGATATCTCACATATTTTCAAAGATACTTTTTTGTAATACTCACGATACCGTAAACAAAATTGTCATAAAACGTTTCCGTTTTCAGATACATTGAGAAATTGAATATGTTGCAATTTGGGACCCCTTGTATCTCAATTATCTCTCAACTTATCGGGGAAGTAAAAACTGACTATTAGACATTTTTCATCGTAGAATCCAGTGGCATAGTCAGACTTTCGAAATGAGCTTCAATTATGCGAATATAAAGCAGAGTTATGTGTTTTTAAAAGCAATATCCCGTTTATTTTTTCATATTTGAAACAATGATGCTATGTGCTTTCCAAAAATATACAAAATTCTTTTAATATTCTAAGTATAAGCCATGAAATTAGATAGTTTCTAGTTCTTCAGCGGATTTCTCATTCATGGGCCATTTGAATATGTGGCAACATTGTCCATTTCACAAATTCATATATATACCTTGTTGCTGACACAATTTCTTTTTACACATTATTTAAAATTTCAACAACATTTACATATATTCAGCACTATTAATTGACTATAAAAGCTGTTGACCTTATTAGTAGGTGGCTATGAAAAAAAAATATATGAATTTTTCATACGAGGTTCGGATATAAGTTGGTTTCTGGAATTTTGTAGTTTTGATATCCTGGATTATCTTCTGCCGTTGTATAAAAATTCGGAAAATTTGAAAGGTTGGTGACGAAAAGCATGATACATTCTGCACTCGCTTTTTTTTCATAGCCACCTACTGATTAGGTCCTCAGCTTTTCATAGTCAATAAATTGGGCTGAATATTGGTAAATGTTGAATATTGGTAAAATTGAAAGGAGTTTGTGATGGAACACTGATTAAGTAACAAGGTGAATATGAGAAATCGTGATATGGACAATGTTGCCATATACGATGGAATTTCTACTCAAAAACTAGAAATTATCTGAATTCATGGCTTATAATTGACATTCCTCATGAGTGTTTCATATTTCCAGGAAGCGCAGAGCATCAATATTTCAAATATAAAGAAATATACAGGGTGTTCTATTCAAAAAACATAACTACGGGTTATACCGGAATAATGGGATTCGACGTGGAAAAATGTGTAGGTGACAGTTTTTTTTTTCGATAAGTTGAAAGATAGCTGAGATGCAAGAGGTGGCCCAAAATTTATTTTTTCATATTTCGCCCTGTATCTCAAGAGCGTAGCAGGTTATGAACATTTTGTTTGTGGACGGAAAATCTCTATCTTTGAAAATAAGTTAGATATCCCCGTAAGGTCTTCGAAAATGGGACAGCCTGTTATTGAATTCTCATTCCAAGAAATTCTGATAGTTGAAACATATTTCCAGCCTCTTGATCAATGTACAGGGTGATTGTTTATATTTCACTGGATAGCTATCTCAGTTGATATTGGTCTCACAGAAACGATCAAATGAAGAGAAATTAAGTATTGGACATTGACTGTTATTTTGTGAAAAGAACATCCGGCATTTCATTCTCCTAATCTATAGAGTTTTTTTCTGATTTTCCAAAAATATGGATTCTGAGGCGCAGCTGTAGAATGCCAGAAATCGCAGCATCAACACCTGCCTTAGATCTATGTCAAAAAATCTATATTCATCGAAAACTAACAAAAGAACACCTCAATCAAGTTTTTATATATTCGAAATCAGAAGAAATAGCTCTACCGTATGGGAAAATACAATATAGGGTGTTTCATTTAAAAAATACCAGCCTATGTGAGATTCACGATGATTTTTTGCATTTCTTCGTACTGAATTTTGAATGCTCATAAAAAATACTACATATATGCCAATTTGAACGTTTCTGTGAAATCAATAGAAACTGAGTTCGGAGTCACATGTCTCATCACATACAAATATAATTTTTTTGTTTCAGGTTTGACTCTGAACATAATGGCGAAGGATGAAACTTCGTTTATATTTCTTTTCATCACGCTACTAGGTGAGTATTCTCAATCAGAAATAATCCAGAATGAATACATTGAATTTTTTGTTCACTAATTTGGAAAGCACAGCAATTATTCAGCTCGTTGCATCAACGTTGTACCCAATGCCCACCCCTCAAGTTTGCTGTGGTCGTGGGTCATTGAAAACGGACGGGACTCGATACTCATTTTTTTGAAAAGGAATATTCCCAGATACATTTATGAAAACAAAAATGGATATGAATATAGAGAAATACATTGAGAATTCGCATTCTCCATGTGATGAAAATATTAATTCTTTCTCGGTTTATTCAACAGAAAACAACTACTTTCCTGGCTATATGCCACGACGAATATTGAATTGAATCTATTTGAACACACGATATGAATTTGAAAACATAATATATATATATATCCATTTTTTTGTGTTCATAAATATATCTGAGAATATTCCAATAATATCACCCAAAGGGGTTCAAAACTTATGAACGATGGAAACTTGTGATTTTCATAGACCTCAATCGCAGATTCGTGATTAGGTTTTTGTCTCAATTCAGAATTTCTTTCCACGTCCAGTATAATGAATATCAATTTATCGAACATCCAAAAAACTATTTTTTTGTTGTTGAAATCAAGTGACTAGTTATGGAGAGATGTAGAAAATAGGAAAGAACAAACTTTTCTGGGCATTTCTCACGGCTGCAACATGTATACTGTTGTGTATTCCAATAAATAGCAATTCTGTCAGTCAATCATCTGTCATCCCTGCATAACACATGATGATGAATATTAATGAACCGAATATACCGGGTAATACAATTTCTGGCTCATTTGACAAGATAATTGGAAAATTCAAAAACTGTATTGTCTGGCACTGAAGTAACTTCCTCATGACAAATAAACAAATTCTTTACATCTAACAGTTCTCTGGCAGCTATCCCCTACTTTTCATTTTCTAATGGCACCCCCTGTATATTGTCATTGAAAATTGCGTGCCATCATATGAAGAATACAACGATAGCATATACTTGGTATTTTCCTATTATTATAACAAGAACAGCAACATTTGATGAAGTATGAATTTCAACTAGAATAGCTTTTATGCTAATCAAAGAATGAAGTAAAAATTACAGCAATTGTTCAAAATTATTATGACATATGGCTTCTCGAAACAAAAAACATGGGCCGAGGCAATATTTCATTTCGATAAGGATAATTGAGTAACTTGAAACAAGTCACAAATGTTGATATTTTTGTTATTAATAAAAAAATACCAAGTATACGCTATCGTTGTATTCCAAATTGAGTGACACGTAATCTCCAACAAAAATATACAGGGGATGCCATATGAAAATGCAATGTGGAGGACAGCTGCCAGAGAACTGTCAAATATAATGGATTTTTTAATGTCATTAGGAAGGTACTTCAATGCCATTCAATGAAGTTTTCAGTTTCAGTTTTTCAACTATCGTGTCAAATAAGCGGGATATTGCCTGTATACGATAACTTTTGGGACAACTGGTAGGTATATCATATTATTATATCATCAATTTTCTAGTTTTTCATTGAAACATCCATATCGAATAGTTTTAACTAATCTTCTCCATCTCTGCAAATATAGTCGCTTGATTTCAACAAAAAATGCAACAGACCAACTAGACAAGCCCAGTCAGCACATCCTTTCGTTGTCAACCTCGGAAGATGTCGAACAGCACTTTATTGAAACTCCTTCATCCATAGAACGGCTAGGCTCTGAAATTCATTGCCTGAGTAAGTATTCCCAACAACATATAATCTCCAGAAGTTAAAAAAAATCCAATACCTACCTCCTGTCCCTATTCTCCCTAGGAACGCACGATGTTCTTTGAACATTATAGGGATTTCCTTTCGTGCGCTCCAAGCGATAAAAAAACAGTTTAGACACTAGCGTTCATCGTACGTTTTCAATGACCCACGACCCCAATAAACTTGGGGTAAGCAGGGTGCAGGGTTGATGAAACGAGCTAAATTCTTTTTACGTCAGGTATACTAACACTCACGTTTTCCGAACAACTTTTCACTCACAATATTTCCTTCGATATTTTGCGAACTTATCGTTCTATTCGGAAAATGAAAACACAGGCTTTCAGAGAATTAAAAAGTCTCTCCAATGAGGTGCCACACAACCTACCATACCGACGATATACAGCGCGTGAAAAGTTTTCAAATGAACACCGGTATGCTTTTGGGTGTATGATAAATTGACATTCATCAAACAGGGCGTGGAAATGAATTCTGAATTGAGACTCTATCACGAATCTGCGATTAGAGGTCTATAAAAATCACAAGTTTCCATCGTTCAAGTTTGAACCCCCTGATTGGGTATAAAAGTGTTGAAAAGGAATATTCTCAGATGAATTATGAACATACAAAAAAGGATATATATTTATATAAAGCAATACATTGAGAATTCGCATTCTCTATGTGATGAGAATATTTACTCTTTTTCAGGTAATTCAATAGAAAACAACTACTTTCCTGGCTATATGCCACGACGAACATTGAATTATATCTATTGAACACACACGATAAGAGTTCATGCCAGTATACTTCTCCTATACATTCCAATTTTCATTTCAATGCTGAATATATTGGTAAGTCATATTTCTATATCATTATTCATCATATTATTCAACCGATTTGAAGAAGAATGTCAATTCTCAATTTCGGAGGATTTTATTCTTTATTTTTCATGTTCCCTTTTGAATGTTCATCAGATATAATTCAATGTTCGACGTGGCAAATAGCCAGGAAAGTAGTTGTTTTCTGTTGAATATTCAGAATGATGTGTGTATATACATTTTTTTGTCTGAAGGAGAATGCAAATTCTCAATTTCAGAAATTCTTATATTTTATTTTCAAACTCTTATCGTGTGTGTTCAATAGATATAATTCAATGTTCGTCGTGGCATATAGCCAGGAAAGTAGTTGTTTTCTATTGAATTACCTGAAAAAGAGTAAATATTCTCATCACATAGAGAATGCGAATTCTCAATGTATTGCTTTATATAAATATATATCCTTTTTTGTATGTTCATAATTCATCTGAGAATATTCCTTTTTAACACCGGTATATTTTTGGTTATAGATGCTGGATAGGAAGAACTGAATTTTTCCTTCAGATTGGCAAACACGATGAGAGTTTGTCAAGTACAGTGCGAGACTCAGTCCCTCGCAGAAATTGATCCCAAATCGGAATATTGGAAATTTATTATATTTTTATATTGCCGCATATACAGAACGGATATTGATTGATGAGGACCATTTGTATAGCGTTAGTGTCCCAGAGGGACTACGAAAAACCATCGAGTTTGATTTTATGTCTCTTCGTCACGATTCCATCAGGAAAAAAGTATCCGAACTGTTCCGGAAGTTGACTTCGAGAGTTGGATAAATTCAATTTGAAACTGGCTTGAACCTACCTCCAGTTCACTACAGATATTTTTTTAGTAGTATATATAGGTTGTCCCGTGACTCGATCCTCTTAGCTCGAGGGCATATTTTCTCAACAATTTCGAATTTTGTCCAAAACTCTATAGTTGAAGATCAATGAGCAATATTGAATTTATCAGAATTGAATAATGTTATATTTCATCAATTGGGAAATTTTTGATTACTTATACAAATTCAATCGAGGTTTTCATTCAAAATGTTCTCCTGCAGCTTCACAACACATTCTGGATTATCCAATAATCATTGAAAACTTTGCTCTCTCGGTGAAGAGTATCTGGGTCTTCTCTTATGGATGCAGCTGTAGTCATGATGTTTTGAATTACCTCTCATCTGGTTTGTATCATTTGTTCGAATACACAGACTTTTCATGGGTCCCTAAAGATAATAGTGGTCAGGTGACCTCTGTGGACAAAGAACTGGACCACCTCTTGCATTCCGCTGATGAGCAAAGTTGTTGATTAATTGCTCATAACTCATCAACTATCGAGTTTTAGACAGAAGTGTATAAGTCACTTTGAACTCAAAATATTATGGAAGAAATATGCCCTCAAACTATGGGCATCGAGTCATGAAACACCCTGTATTTATTAAATTATTTCTCTCAATGTAGTGGTCCACCGAGTTTCATCTGACTCTCTTATTATAAATGCTGGTGTTCCGCAGGGATCATTTCTAGCAACAACACTATTTCTACTCCATATCAACGATTTGTTGAAAGCAACTTCATGTCCAGTACACAGCTTCGCGGATGATAGTACCCTCCATACCGCCTTCTCTTCCAGGGCTCCAATACACTTTTTTGAACTGTCACACTGATGTTCTCAACGTACTAGTTTTGATCTCAGTAGATATTTGTGAATGAATAATTTGATAATCGAAAGAAGAATATCCTGGCGTTTTGTTATCTTCGAGTCAACTGTCCAGAATATAACGTTGGCATATTTCATTAGGCAGAACAACATGGGAGGAAAGTATTCTCGCTTTGCATCTCGAATTCATGAAACAACCGTTCCGGAAATGAACTGTCTCCAACACAGAAAGTATCTCAGGAATGAATGATTTGTGGCAGAAAAAAACCATCTGAACGCGAGAGACTTGAAATATCACATTAGCTGCCAGTTAGTGAGCTGAGATTTTCTCTGAAGAGTCCGCAATATTCTCCTCTCCTGTTTGCTGTGACTAGGGAAACAATGCGCACAGTCGACGAATTTGAATATCTTGACTTTCAAATTGGCCAGTGAATATTCAGCATTCAATTATTTCCAGAAACATTTTTAATTGACTCGATGAGTCAGGAGGAAATCTTAACCGCGAATCTAGGAAAGCTTTAGTCGTGGACATTGAGTAATTTAAAATCTGGATCAATCAATGGCTATAATGGGCGTGTACACCTTAGTAGAACTTTTAACTCAAACCATGTTTATAATGATCCTTTTATACATAAATAATGATTGACGACATAATTCGATCGAAAAATTAACTGAAATGTTTTATTTTTGGACATAAATAATAGTACCTTCTGAAA